TCAGGTGAGTAAACTTTGGATCTGAGTCGGATTTATTCAGATATAGTATTGATAGAACGATATTGTTCTAAATGGATAATTTTTCATTCTCAGCTGGTCGTCGTCAGTTCATGATTCGAAAGGTGTGGCTGTTTTGACCTTCAATGACATTATCCTTGGCTCATTGGAGTTAGTTGATCGATTGTCAAAGAAGACAGGATCTAAAACTTTCAATAACATAAAATAATCATAATACTATCACTCTCGTTCATTTCTTGATCTATCCTTCATGTTCATCACTTCTTGGATTCTTATTTAGCATTTGTAGCTTTTTTTCGTATAGTTTTTCACCCTCTTTTGTCAAATATTACACGCTCATTGTTATCATTCTAGCTTGTAATTTATATCTTGCATATCAAACGTTTGTTGAATGAGATCTTTGAAATCAAAAACAAATGAAAACTTTTTTACTTTCTTTTTTTACTTTTTCAGAACTCGTGTAATGGGGTTGAGATATGAAATTGATCCCCTTCCTCTCGGTTTTTCAAATTTTGTAGTTCCTTTGCATTTAATCTTCATACCCAAAGTCTTTGTTGAGAAAAAGATACATCTTGTGTAAACATCATCTTCAACAAGGGATAAGTATACAACATTTTTCTTTTCAAGGACCAAATGAATTAAGGGAATCAAACGATGTGTGTAAACGCAACATCTTCTTGAAAGGTATTTTTGAACTCAAGCAAATTCAGCAACCTACTGATCAATGACGCCAGATCTGTGTGTTGTCTTAAATTTGAGGGGTGGAAACCTTGATCCCACTTCTACTTATGCTCGACCATTTTTCATGAGCCCATGGAAGGTCCACTTCAACTCAGAATCAAAGGAAATAGAGGTATGTATGACATCAAGAAGGATACACACCGCAGCCGTCGTGAATCATATGATGGCAGCCCGGCGATATCCGAACCCCAATTTAGGCCTTTACATATCCGACAGTTCTGTCGGGGCGGTTGATGTTGGTCATATCTGGTCACATCGAAAAGTTCAAAAGAAACCCACGAAGATCAAGTTCAAAACCCAAGTGAAGGAACTATTGAAGATAACGAAGCTCTAGTGAATTGAGATGGAAAGAGACTCGAAGTTCAGCCCGATGGATGTCAACCAAGTTGCTACACTCGGTGAGGCTAGATAGCAATTTCATCCTTTGCTCTGATAACCCTTTACTTCACCACATGACGTCATTCATGCCAGTCTTCGATTGAACTTTCAAACGTTATCATAAACTTTCCTCTGTGGTTCTCTCCAATCGATCTGATTCTGCAAGATGCGTATTGGAGTCATTTCTCTGCCTGAGCGTATGTCAGTTGCAAAGTCAACAGGGTTGATAGATTTAGCATCAGGAGGGGTCGCAGTCTGTTGCCTATCTTACCTGTGCAATTCCCTGCCCCAAATGCCATCGGCCCTAAGTTTGCCTAGTGAACTGATGATTCTGATACAAATCGAATTCCTCGTTTTCAATACTAGGCATGTTCATACTCGATGTGAGTACTCTCGATGCGATATCGCCGGCGTGTCTTTATTTCGATGGATTGAACATTTCAATATAGTCATTATGCTCAGTATTTGCCAACCACGGAGAGGCTTTACGGGGGATCTGTTTTCAATGCTTATATCCACAAGCCTGTGTATACTCAGAACCTTCGTGTCAACCATATGAAGCACTCCTAAGCGTGTCACGGCAGTTCCTGACGGATTTGTATCTCCGAACTGATCTTGGAATTTTAAATTGCAGAGCTTTGAATACTCGGCGGATTTCAATGTGACTCACAAGCCTACTTTTGGTCCTGATGAGTGGCATATTGGTGGTGGTGGTACATATGGTGAGTTATGATATTTCTGTCTTTTTGCTCAAGTATCAGTCGCGAGTCACTGACCTGTGCACTTCCCAAATGACTGATTTGTAGCTGCCATAGGTGCTCGAATCTGGTCAGTATACCATTCTTATTGATAACCTCACATATAATCATGACTGGCAATATGTTACAACACATCGATGAGATGAAACCAATGGTCTCTCCCCTCAATCACTGACGCGAATATGTTGTTATTTGGTCTGAATTGAATGGTTTGTCAGGATAGGTACCGCCCAAGCAGATCTTAATGCTCATCCACAAAGGTCAAGACTTTCCATCCGAAATCGAAGAAAGACTGTTAAATTATTCTCCATCTCTCTTTACTTTTATCAACGATCCTAATCATCCTTTAACGACTCGAGCTTTAAACATTTACTCAAATACGCAACGTGATTTTAAATATTTGACTCCCAAGCGTCAAATTAAACTTATTGATATTGCTAGTCATACACCTAAATTTGTTCATTTGATTTGTTCACCTAGTCGGATGAATGAAACGATTGAAGACCTTCAAAATCTTCGTACTGGATCAGGTCAGATCAGCTCTCACCTTGATCAACATCAAATCACGAATTGGTCTCCATTGTTTGTCTATGAACCTATTCCAGATTCATGTCTACCGGAAAACCTTGAAAAATTAATCAGTTTATCAAAACATATTGAAGTCTTCAGCCCAAACGAATTAGAAGCTAGATCTTTCATTGGACTTATTACTCCGTCTGATGAGGTTCCAGAAGAGATAGAGGATATTGCACGAGTTTTTCAAAACCATGGATTCAAAAATGTTGTTATCCGTTGTGGTAAAATGGGCGCCTTTGTACTTACACATCAAGAATCAAACAAGGGAACTTGGGTTCCTGCAATGATTGAAGATCAATCAAAAGTCATCGATCAAACTGGTGGTGGAAACGCATTTCTAGTTCGTGTCTAACATCAATTACTTTCAGATTCACTGATCTTCCAATCCTTCTTTGCCGTGAATGGTTCGCTGACTTGATTTGGATTCTTACTCATCCAGGGTGGTTTAATGGCCGGTTTGGCAAAGGGGCTTGGACTAGTAGAAGCTTCTTATTGCGGCGCTGTGTCTGCAGGACTTACTATTTCTCAGTTAGGTCTACCTGATATGACTGTTGATGATGACGGGCTTGAATTATGGGGAAACTTGAAGCAGGTACCAGAAGAGTTGAAGATTAAACTCATGGCTCGCTGAGTGAAGTCATTTTTTCAATTTCAATACTACTCGAGGCCCTTACCGCTCCGTGATGTGCTACTATGGATTATCTCTTGGTTTTTGAATTTGTAGATCGTTGGAGAAATAACCTGTGCGACATTTGAAAAATATCTAGCTATCGTTTGTCACCTTCACCGAGAGATACTGCGATCTCGCATTGAACGCTTTGACAATTGAACTTCAACTTCGAGGTCTTAAGAATGCCTCTCATCATAAGGATTTATGACTCGAAACCGAATTCCGAAAAACTGATGGAGAAGTCTCTCGAGTCATAAGCAATGAAGAAAACCGTCTACAAAACATATTCATGATCTCATCCAATCGCCACAGGTGGATGTCTTCGATGGTATTCGAGATATTTGTTGCATATGGCATTCTAGTAATACTTTTCAATGCTCAATGACTTTGACGTATTGAGCGCATACAAGCCTATGATCA